TTTTTGACTCCTGACAACTGCCTAGACAGATACTTGAAGTCTTCTTGGCAACCTTTTTCAGAAGTGGTTTCCCTTTGCCTCCTTCTTCCTAGGGCTGGGAGAGAGTGAGTGGCCCAAGGTCACCCAGCTGGCTTTGTGCCTAAGGCGGTACTAGAACTCCTGGTCTCTCCCTTGCTTCCCCTTAAATTTGGAACTGCCACCCCCAAATGGATACCTAGAGTCCCTTCTGAAAATTCACCTCTTCCTGAAGGTTTGGAAAGAAATACAAGACATTGGTATTTGAAAAAAACATTGTATATTTCCGCAAGTTATTCCTGCCTCCATTTCCCCTTTCCTGTTCCCCTCTGCTTGTTTTTCAGTTGTTAGTGCTTTGGGAAAGGGACCTGTCAAACACTGCTTTGGTGAAGCTCTGTGGCGCCAAATAATGTTGAGAATCTCCTGTTCCTACCTTTGTAGCAAAAGTAAAGCTGCAGCATCCTGTTTTCAGAATCCATTATAAAACCATCAGCTGCTCTCCCGCATTTAATCCTCACACAGATGCATCTTCTGCCTTTATTAAGTTTCCATGTTGATTTTATCCACTGAAAGGCAATTCATTCATTTATTTCATTTTATTAATTGGTATTCTCCTGCATAATAATTCCTTCTTGCTGATATGCCTTCCTCCCGTCTAGCTAAAGGCTTTCGGTTTCCGCCAACGATGCCTGAGGAATTTAAAACCAATTCTGTCGGTCACTCTCTAAATTCTCTGTCACCCTTGTGACTCTGCCAAAGCTAATGCACATATTGGATAATAAAGCCAAAATCCGATATCACATTAGGTATGTGTAAGCCCATTAAATCCAGGATCTTAAGCTTACCTCTGTTTTGGATTGTGACTTCTATTTTGTGTAATAGATTTTGGAGGCTGCCAGTCTACAAGGTTAGCATGCCTTCAGAATCACTCCTCCCAATATAACATTACATCATTTCGGTCATTGTGGCTTTTGAGCAGGGGGGAATGTATGGACCCATGTCCACCTCATGTAGGGTAGGCTTCTAACCTCACTATTTTTGTCTGGCCTCTTGGCTTCAGCTTTTTCTTCTTTATAGTTTCCCTGCCTGATCTTTTAAGAAACAACACTGACCACAATACATTGCGCACAGTAGGCATATAGGAAACAGCTTCCTGAATGACATGAAGTAAACCAACTTCTGCTGGCTAAGGCATCTTTTTAAAAAATGGCACACTGGTGGCAAACTTCATTCTTATGTTACAACTCAAAAGAGTTAATTTTTAAATTAAAAAATGGCTATTATTGAATTTTAGTTGCCATCAAGGGAGCATAATCTGAAGCCCCAGAACTGAAGATGGTTCCTTGGGTGCAACCCCCAGAAGCCCCTGATAGTCCTGTTGGATTGGAGTACCAAAGAAGTCCCAGCAAAGGAACAAATGAATGAAAACAGGACAGGGGAAAATCATTAAATATATGGGGATAATATTGATTAAACTTAATTGCATTTAAAATTTAAAATTAATCAGTTTTAGTCTTTCTCTCTCTCTCTCCTTCTTACTTAGAGACACCCTCTGCCCTGCCACTTGCCACTCAAACACTAAGTGTGGCTCTTGGGTCAAAAAGGTCACATTTCCCTGACTGGTATCAATTCTGTAAACACAGATTTAATGTTAAAAGGCAAGCTAACGTAAGACAAATGACCAAGGGAAGAAGAACATGTGTTTGGGTCAGAATGAATAATATTTTCACATTTCCCACGTGTGCAGTTTAAGGGAATATCATAAGTGACATCCTTCACACTGAGCTAGACATCAATGTGGGTATCAGCCTGTCAAAGAAGTTGACAGGTATATGATATTTATAATGTATGATGTACATTGAACAAGGATAGTTTTCTGTTGAGTGAACTGGGCTTGCTTTCCTGATATCATAAAATGGTCAGTTTGGTGGACAGCATTGATTAATCCATGTCTTGTTGTGATAAGATAAGGTACTATGCAATTGTGAAGTATCCTCTCTGTGTTCTGGGAATGGTAGATTTATTTTTAGCCCCGGGTTCCTACGGGTAATGAACTTTCCCATAGGACAGAGCCATCTCATATGTGTTATCATTTCAGCATCAGTATTTCTGCTATAGTTACAGATCTAGAATTCAATTCATAAGGCAGTGATTCCCAGTTTTCCTTTTATACAGATCACTGTGTCATCACTGGAAGGTTTAAGGCCTACCACACACCCCAAGAGTCAACACTGCAGATAACATAGGTGATATCCCCAGTAGCACCTGCAGATTGTCCCCAATTAAATAATAAAAGAAATACTTATTTTATAAAAGTAAAATGGCAGAAACAATGCCAGGTTGCCAAACCTCTTGAGATATTGGTGTGCCCACCTAAAATCTCTCAAAGTTTTGAATAAGAAAACAATCTCCAAAGATACTGGTAACTTTTGACAACTTATTTTTATTTTGACATTTGCACCAGGGACCACCAGAGCACCAGTGGTCCTCGGATCACAAATATGAAACCATGACTTTAAGGGAAAAACTGTCCTCAGCACAAGGTGATGTCCTAAGTGTGCCACATTGGAGGGCAAATGACTTGGTTTCGTTTCTGTATCAGAAGCATTGAAGAGATTTGAAAAACTCAACACAAATGACTGCAATTCAGGACCAAACATGGAGCAAAGGAAGGGTATACAGTAGATTTCTGTTTTGAGGTCCTGGATCCTCTGATTTTGTTGAAGGCAATCAAAAAGAGCAGCAGAGCAGTGAATTGTTTTCTTTAAAACGCAGAATGTGCTTCTGCTTTTATCCAGAACTTGTAATTTGAAAGATAGAGAGACAGGCTGTCAAAAGAGCTATTACTTCTTTCTGCACAGATGGGGAAGGGACAAATTAGGACATTGTTCCTAACAACAATAGGAGCCAGACTAATCTCTCTCTTATACACCAGCACATTGTCATGTTTAGCTACCAGTTGAAATTCAGGCCTCCAGAATTGCAAAGAAGTTTCAGAAAGGTAACTAAAATGAAGAAATTAAAGACATCAGTTAAATAGCAGATGGGCATCCCTAGGGGGATGAAGGGAGATAAATGAAGAGGAAGATAAATGAAGTGTATCATCACACAAATGCTGTAATTTAAATACTTGAGTCAGACAGTGAGATGCAAAAATGCAAGTGGCCTTTGTGCAATGATGTCAGCAGTCATGTGTCATCACTTTGGGATAGCTGGGGACCACAATGGACACTGCTGAAGTAGTATTTAAAAGAAATCAAATATCAGTAGAAAAGTACTTTTGTTAGAACCAACTGAACACTTAAAAAAAAAAAATTCAACAAGTCATGTAGGAGTCTTCTTTAAGTTAGCTACAAAGAAATAACCCAAACAGGGAAGAGTAGCATGGTAGAAAGAGCCCCAATGTGAACAACAGGGTGATTTCAGAAATTGAGAACACGCCATTTTCTTTTTTGAAGCAGAGGCTGGACGGCTAGATATCCTGGATGCTTTAATCTGGATTCCTGCACTGAAAGACTTTCTCCAGCTCTAGGATTCTATGATTTGGATTCAAGTCTGATGAGATTGAGGCTTATGGCTCATGTGATGGGACTACATTATGTGTGCATGGAAAGGAGTCTGGCTTACAGCCTTGCTACCATTCTGATGGGTACGGCTGAAGCACGTTTAATACCAATGCATCTCCTTCATCATCACCACCAGCACCATCAGGAATTCAGTCGTATTTGGAAAGGCCACTTATTCGCATATAACACGTCCATTTTCTGTCATAGTTTCCCTTTGTAAAAAGCCAGCAAAGATTCATTTTTACACATTTAAACAAAGAAAAATGTAGGAATAATGCAATTGTGCTTTTTATTGATTTTCATCACAACTGAGAAAAAGTAATACTGTTTGTCTAATGTTCATTAGGCAGATATTTTTCCAAGCTTGCAAAGGCTACATTAGATCTGACCACCCATAATTCAAATAAGTAAGAATCATGCTTTGGAAGCAGGTAGGAGTTGGGACACATCATTCCAGGATTGAACCAGGGGTCAGGTTGTTTCTGGATCTGAGTTTTGAAGCAGGTCAAAGGTCTTTGCACAGCCCAATCAGCAGACCAGTAAACATAATCTTTTCTTGTGTTGTATGAAGCAAGTGATGATAAATCAATCAGAAACAATGCTGGGAAGACGAATTTAAGGAATTAATGCATAAGTGCCAGAATTTTTGATGCCTGAATCCTCTTTGACTTACCAAAGCCAGTGAAGGTTGAGCTAAGGGGAAAGCTGGATGGTGCCATGTACTGGAATTACGTGATTAGTAATAGAATCATGCATTGCCAATTCTGTGGTTTGGCTTCCTAATGATTATCTAGTGCAAAATAACTTTTAAAAGGCCATTTGTGGGCAGATTTAATAGAAGAACTTCATGAGTCACACAGTATACAATTCACCTCCATTCAAGAGTGCCCAAGAGTGAAATCATAATATTAATTCAAATGCTTCTTTAAATTTCTGCTCTTTTCTTCTGCAGCAGACATCCTCTTTAATGCTATCAATACTCCCACAATCAACAGGCTAGCTAGTTGCATATCAGTAGTTCCTCTTTATGAAATATAGCAGCATAATAGCAACAGCAGCTTAGTATATACAGAACTCTCCTGAATACTAAAAATTCTTTTTGACTGAGTTCAGATAACATAACAACAATGTGGTTTGTTTGGTCCTGTGCTGAATCTGAATACTGCTGAATCCCTGTGGCTTGATAATAACTAATGAAACTGGACATTATGACTTATTTAAGAAACTAAAATTAAAACAAATAATGGTTTAGCATGGGGGTGAGTCTAATCGGTAACTTCTTGACAAGCCATTCAATTTCTCAGCGACAGAAGAGGTTTAATGTGATTTATGGGCACTACTATAAGGGGAAAACAGCATTACCAATGCCATTGTTCAGCTAGAGAATCCCCAACTGCACACTGCATTTGTCTTTTGCAGGAGTTATTCAACGTTGCACAGCTGTGAAATATCACTACACTTCATCTTCCCTGCCACGCAACTTGCCTATTAATGTGACCAACACCATCCGCCAGGATGAATGGCATGCCCTCCGTAAGTGTCCCAAACCCATTCTTGTACGTGCACCATCAGAACCAATTGGCTATGTGATAGAATGATCCTCAGGTCCTTCTTAGGACTTCCATTCCCTCTCTCTCTCTCTGTATTTATATTTGCATGCTTTGTTTCTGTATAGAAAGATACACATGAAAGTTAGCACATCAATGTTCTTCTACCAAGCGTATTAGCTTTCCATGTGTGTCAAAAGCAAGTATGCTCCATGCGTGCTCAAGAACAGTCTGCTGTTTTGCTTACATATTTAGCATTTGAACCACCTTAGCAAGAAGAAAGTGAATATAAGTGGAACAAGTTGCTTGCATTGGAATAGTTTGGATTCTTTCAGAAGCAAGGAACTAAATCAGCCATTTACCACCTTTCTTTCCAGATTTCTTCCCAGAATTTCCAATCAGTTAGTTGAAAAGGGCTGAAATAAATATATGTTACTCTTAGATGGCTGAAAACATGCCTGTTTGCATCCAAAAGGGCCAGGAAATGAAAACCTGAAAAGACGGTTCTAGGGAATTACAGTTCTTAATCATATAATGGAGGCAGCGAAAAAAGCACCAAATCAATTGCTTCTCCCAGTGAAGCAAATCTACCTGCTTTGCAGTTACCTTTCCCCAGCAGGCCCTGAAGGACTAAAGCAGTCTGGAGGGACTTACGGCACATACTTCATTCTGGCCTCTAAGCTGCAGGAAGAATCTTGCATGTTTTTGCTCAAGTGCTCCCGACTTAATACAATGCTCATTATACAATGTTCAAGAGTTTATTTCTCTGGGATCCACTTTGAATTAGTTTATACCTTATACCAGGAAGGGCAACTTGAGGCCCTCATGATCTCATGCAGCCCTGCCAAAACGTTTTTGCACCCCTAGAGCCTCATTCAGTTTCACCTGCATGGTTTCCTGCTATTTTGCAGTACGAATCACCCATAGAAATGGTTATGAAAGCTCTAAAATAACCTTCACCTACATGGTTAAGAGAAATCTTCCCTCTCCCAAGGAAAGAAACCAGAATTCTGGTCCTGTCCATTTGTGTAGCACAACTTTACCTGCTGCAACACTTGCCTATCAAAAAAAAAAAAAAGGAAAAAAAGTGAAGTTCTACCCCTGAATAGGCAATCCATATTTATATTTTTGCCAAGAAAGCAATGGAGATATGATCAGAAGATCACTAGAATTCAAGTTTGAGTGGATGGATCATCTATGTTAATTCACAGGCAGATGTTGCTCCAACCTGTTGCCCTCCTGTGTTGGACTGTAATTCCATTATGGTAGTTGAAATCCAATATATCTGGAGAGCATAAGATAGGAGAAACACTTCCCCCATGCCTTCACTGCTACAATCATGATCACTTATTAGCCTGAAGCACTTTCATTTCTTCTTCCACCCCCATTTGCCTGGTCTGTTTACCTTCTTGAACTCCTTATAAGCACTTGTTAAGAGGCAACCAGATTGAGACTGTGGTAGCATTACATCAGAACATAATGTCCTCTGCAAGTAATCATTGATGATCCCGTATTCACTGCCTGATTGCACTGCACTGCGCTGCACTGCAGGGCAGCCTGATTGCTTGTACATTCAAGGAAACTGCCTATTCATACAGTCATGGATGATCCCAGAAAAACAGAACCCTAACTAACAAACAGAATATTTTCAATGGAGCAGGTTTACACAGTCCCTCCCTGTTTGCAAGATAATGATTCAGTTAAGAAAGAGACCTTATACTGTTAGGAAGTGCTAAGGCTTTGCTTGATTTGCTTTCTGAATTGCTTTATACAGTTCTCAAAATTCACACATCTCCTGTCCTAATGTGAACCTGTGTTGCAGTTCTCTAGAGCAGCCTTTTGCACATTGGTCTTTTCTATTTGTGCTGGACATAGAACTCTTTTCAGCTCTAGCAAGCTGGAATTGGAGTCCACATACATCAGGAGGGTGCCAGTTTCAAAAAGACTGCCCTAAAGTTGCCCAAATGACTCTCTGTGGGTTTTCTTCCCCTACTGTTCTCCCTCTTCTTTCTTCCATGCACCAACAATGCCGCCTCTCAGACCTGCGGAGAATGACAGCTGGCTTCATCGGCATGGCAGTGTCCATAATCCTCTTTGGATGGATCATTGGCATGCTGGGCTGCTGTAAACAGCATGAGCTCATGCAATATGTAGCTGGGCTGCTCTTCCTTATGGGAGGTGAGTTTTTTCATTATTGTTTTTGTTCAAACTACTTTTGGATATGATGCTGGCATTTGTGTTATGCATTATATGTAATGAATCCATGCCTTAACAGAGGAATTGAGTTCACAGATGAAAAGAACTTGGGACAGAGAATGCCATTATTTGTACCAATTCAACTTTAAAAAGCTTGGAGAGTTTTCAGATGAATGAAGGAACAAAATAATGGGGTTCACCTAATGCACTGTAACCTGAACTTTGCATGCCAGTTAAATTTGTAGAAATCCAGCACGAGGTTGATTCGGGGGTATGGAGAGAGTAGTGCTGCTGGTTTCTTTGCTAGATGCAAGGTTTCTCTCTTCATAAAGATTATGCAAGGGTATTGTTTAACTCTGGATATCACTGAACCCTGGAATTGTGGTGCAACAATATCTGGAACCCACACATTGCCCATCTCTAAAGCAAACTTTCAGAGGCATATCATGGTTTTCAGGAAGAAGTAGGGGGCACAGGGTTTTCTATGGAAGCCTAGAAGCAAGTGTTGGATGGCCACTTTTCAGTGAAACCACAGCTGCAAATTTTCTGCATCAGCTGAATAGATTACCTCTGTGATATAATTTTTCCTGTCTCTGTTTCAGTAAGGGTTGTTAGCTTTTCAACACTCCCCTATGGCTGTGCTTTAAGCTGCAGTTAAAGAGGCAGGAATTAATACATGAATAATGTTTCTCTAGCACGAAGATAAATTATATTGCAGAATTATAGCCAGAAGGTAAGACTGTCTTATTTAAGTACTGGTTAAAAAGTGTGCTCTTATTGTCTCTCCTTTGCATTAACTCATACTTCAAACCCTTTTAGAAAGACTTTTGTGATTTGCTCATTGCTGCCAATCTGAGTTTTTTTTAAATTTAATTTTATTTCCCCCCATTTTAATTATTTTTCATGCACACATGATTAACAAAACAATCTTAACCTTAAAAAAATTAAAAAATTAGAAAAGAGACAACTCCTAACAAACTAAAATTACAAACTAAGAAAGAAAAGAAAAAAAATCAAAGTTATATTTTATACTTATCAATAGTCACTGGTTTAGTAATTAATTCACTACTATAATATGAACAGTACAATCTGAGGGTTGTTAAAAGCACAGCTACAGGGGGACAGTTAAAATGCTGACAGCTCAAAAGGAAGAGAACATATGCAAGCAAACTCCTTCCTTCCTTCCTTCCTTCCTTCCTTCCTTCCTTCCTTCCTTCCTTCCTTCCTTCCT